AGAGAGAGAGAGAGAGTTGCATGCTAAGGAATCTGCTGTGTTTATGGTTGTGTTATTTTCTTATGTCCTACAACACAAAATGTCATAGATGGGTTTGAACAAACATTTCATTTCTTTTGTTGATATAAAGGTCTAATTGCATTTCTCTCTAAATAGAAAATTTTAGTCAATGCAGTTGACATCAGGGACATGAAGAGAGAGACAAGGATTATCCAAGTTTGATGGAATTAGGATAACTCAACTAACTACTTTTAACCTTTAATCAAGACTACAAACCCTGAGTTCAACTTAGGACACCACTTAAAGCCAATGATCTCAAACCCAAACCAAAAAGAGTCAGTGTTGCAATCTTCAGCAAAAGTAAATACAGATGTAAACATGATTAAACTGACAATTTCAAGCCCTAACTCCCCATGGAGTTCTAAGTAAAACAAAGTATGCTTCAATCCACACACTACTTATCAGTCATAAGCATGAGGATAAGAGTCAATGCATTATGAACCCATATTTGTCACTTGCCAATCACATTTTTCTTTCTCCTTTCCTTTTCATGTTGCATTATGGGACATGTCTATCTATATTATGACATGTCTATCTATACCATGAGAATTTTATGAGAGTAGGTTGATTTCTAGATCCAAGATTAATTTGGATATCAAAGAGGACAGCCAGTCTGCCTTTTAATTTGTCAGCGCATGACATTTTTCTCTACTCCTATCCTTTTCATGTTGCATTGTGGACCATGACTTTCAAAACTGTAGAAACTTTTGCATGATGAAACAAACATGTACACATTCACTTGGATGTCAAGATGTAGGCACTGAAAGAGGAAGAGATGTGATTCTCATTGGGTTACTGAAACAACCACTTGCATCCACCAAACAAACTAAAGAAACATTGAAGTAAGATTTAATCAATCTCTATGTTTCCTTATGAAGATCGATAGGATTCTGATGGCAACAATTTAAGATTGGTAGAGTACTGAAGGCAACAACTACATGATAAACAGTCAATTTAAGCATCAATTTGGTTTATGTTCCTACATACAGGTCTACATGCATGTTGATTTGAGAAAAATAGCAGCCCTAAGAGACATGATGCTCAAACTCATGAAGACATAGAAAGGCAGCTGGACATCAATTAATTATCCGGGAGTGACAAAAACTGAATAATTCATGCTTATTTCTGAAAGATGTACAAACCTCTGTTGAAGACAGTTTTCATGTGGCAAAATGATGGGTTGAAAGTTGCATGTTGTACTACTCTTGTAGGCAAAGTTGTACTGAGACAAATCATTCTGGTCATCATTTTCTTCAGGATGATGAGAAAGGCAGCTATCTTTATCTTGCATGTTCAGCTTTTGTCAAGTGATAGCTGCAAACCCAAATGTAGATCAGGTGTGACAAATCTTGCTTGCATCTGCCAAAATGGTGAGACATGATTCTTTTCCTGAGTTCCATTTGTGTTAAAAGTTTTCTTCTTTGATTGCAGAATATCAAATTTATATTTCAATCCATCTGTGTATATTCACTGATTGCTCATAGGAAGTCTGAACCATCAGCTGCTCTTGATCTGTGTTCAGATATGCCCATCTATATCTCAACATTTAGAGATGGGATAACCCTAATGAATTCTTCTGCATTCCTTCTTCCTCTAGGATGCAGACCAGACTGTGGTTCCACAGAGAGATCCTGCAACAATTTACAAGAATAAGAACAGGAAAGTGAGTCATCTGCAAGTTGCATATCGACCGCAAACGCAGACCCGGATGCTAAATTTTTGTCAGAGAAAAAAACCTCGTTGTCGTTCGGATTAGCAGAGTGGCAGTTTGTTCTTCCCAATTGTCAGAGGTGCTTGGAGGGGAAGCAGAGCAAGATGCACTATTGGTCATGTGCTTGCTGAAGAGGGGAATCCATCTTGTGAGTGCTTGGATTCATCAGACAGCAGTTTCTACTGCACTGTGTTGCAATGCCTGGGGGAGGTTTCAACTTTGATGTGATCAGCCTGGCATAGATTTAAACACAGACTTGTCAGCATTCAAGATTGGAGGATTTGAGCTGAGTGAAGATGGAGGAAGCCATGCTTGAGTTACTGATGAATGAACTGGTTGTAGAGACCCTTGCCAGAAAAGAACTGAGAACCTTGGTTATTTCAGAAGCCTGTGGGTAGCAAATTACAGCACCTGAGAAATCATTGGCTCATTTCTCTTTCTTCGACACTCATACGACTGGATGATAATCTCACTGCTTAGAGAAAAAACGATGTTACTTGCAGGGTAAATATCAGACAACATCAGATTGCCCAACAAAAATGCTACACTGTGAAGTAGACACAATGAGCTGACTGTCACTCATTAGGGAACCCAATTGCTGTTCAATCCAAA